CTGCATCAGGAAAAGCGTCCGGATATTTTACTTCTGTTTGTTTGTCCTCCTGTATTATTTGCTGCACTCACTCCAAAATCTCTCCATCGTTAGCAAGATGAAACGCAATCAGTTGTAGTGAGTGAAAACAAATGAGAGGATATCTGCTTAGAAATTACCTTAAATGACAGTGCATAATTGGCAGAGCTGCTAAAGAGTGAATGCAGATCAGCAGGCAAGGGAGACATCCGTAAGACGGCAGCTTGGCGCATTAGTTGTGTCTTTTTACCTAGACTTGCTCTTCTAGCTTACAAGCTGGATCTGGAAGCCAGTACGCTTTGTTTAACGCAGCAGATATTCTGGGCGGGTAGCTGTCTTCACCAACTTCCTCTAAGCCGCATCAAGCAGGATCCGGTGCATTTTAGTCTTGATGGTGTCCAGGCTTGGTCAGCTCAGCCTTCCTTCCCAGCTTTGAAGGCTCCCTCCTTCAGCCTTCTCAGCCCTTCCTGGTCCAGGAACCAGGGGTGAGGCCCTTTACCACGTCCACCCTGGTCCGGAAGCTTTCTGCTGTGAGTAAGCAGAGCCCACATCCTGTTCCCACATTGGAACAATTCCTGCTGCGCGGCAGAGGCGGCTGTAGGCAAGCATTGCGAGCACAGACTAGCTCATCTCCCAGCAATGGGAATCCCTACAGATCATCTTAATAAGCCAACTTTCAGCTGTTTCTAGCCGGATACCCAGCAAGCTTATTGTACAAAGTCACATAAAAGGAATTTCCTAAGCCGTACATACAGTATTACAAGTTTATTCCATCTTGACTTAAACAGCTGCTTTCATACTCATCTGTAAACACTCTCTTTAAACCACTTCTGAATGGAGAAAATGGCAAAAGTGACTTTGTGCAAACACTAAGAATGTCGTTAACCCAAAGTACCTGTGAATCAGTCACCCACGGCACCTGGCCTGCTTTGCAGAACCTGCCCCGCAAAGGTAAGCCAGACGATTAAGGGGACGCTCCTTTGGTGCCTTCCTAGGAATGAGCGAGTTCTACTGCCGTTAAATAGGCCAGCGTACTCTAAGGAGAGACAGATGAACCAAACATAATACAGAAACCAAACAGGGAGGACTAGGCGCCTTTTCTCCTGCTTTAGTAGGGCAGAGATGGGCTGAATGAGAGGTTTGTCCCAGTAACACAAGACTTCCAGCCACGTGACTTCTCTTTTCTCTGTGCCAGGTGCCCGTTCTGCATCTACTCCACTAACCGCCCTGCAGCAATGGAGTGCCACCTGAAGACTCACTACAAGATGGAGTACAAATGTCGGATCTGCCAGACAGTGAAAGCAAATCAGCTGGAGCTGGAGATGCACATCCGAGAACACCGCCTTGGCAACCATTACAAGTGCGACCAGTGTGGCTACCTGTCCAAGACCGCCAACAAGCTGATCGAACACGTGCGTGTCCACACTGGCGAGCGCCCTTTTCACTGTGACCAGTGCAGCTACAGCTGCAAACGCAAAGACAATCTCAACTTGCACAAGAAACTGAAGCATGCTCCACGCCAGACTTTCAGCTGCGACGAGTGCCTGTTCAAGACTACCCACCCTTTTGTTTTCAGCCGCCACGTGAAGAAGCACCAGAATGGGGACTGCTCTGAAGAGGAGAAGAAAGGCCAGTATTCAACCTCTAAGGAAGCCAGTCCACTCCTACCGGTGAACAGCTCTAGAAACCTCTTGTCACCCCTCTCAGTTATGTCTGCCTCCCAGGCTCTGCAGACAGTGGCTATGTCAGCTGCGCAGAGCAGCGGGGCAGAACCAAACTTGGCAGTGAAAGCCTTGGCCATCAACGGCACCTCCCTGTGCTTTGATAAATACTGGAACTCGGAGTTTGCCCACCTTATTCCTCTAACAATGTTTTTCCCCAAAAACCACTACAGTCTCACATTCCATCCACCCAGACCTCAGACTGCACCGGGAGGTGCCTCTTCACCTAAACACTCCTTCCTTGCCTACCTTGGACTAACAGAAAGGGCAGAAACTGTCTGAGGGCAGTTACATTCTGTACCAAAAATACCCCAACAAACCCAGCAGGTATACATTGCTGCAAACCGTAAACCGAAGAGGTAATGAACATTTGTACTATATCAGTAGTAAGGTTTAGAAAATGGCTCTGTGTATACTTATTGCATTGACATGAAAGCTGCTTTATTAAATCTTCAAGAGGTGACCTACTGCATACTTCTACCTTCAGCATGTTCCCAGTACTCTTATCTAAGAAACTATTTTGTCTTGTTAAGCTGAAAAAGAGTGTCCTTACTGGCAATCAGCGCTTGTAAGATTTCATATTGATGCTTTGTTTTTTTTTTTTGTTTTTTTTTTTTTGTGTGCGTGCGTATGGGTGTGTGAAAGAGAGTCCGTAAGCGTGCCATGACACTGCTTTTGCACATCCCTTATATTGGTTTACTTACCTATTATTTTTCTCCCTTGAACACGCTCGTTCCCTCCCTTCCTCTGTATCCCCCCGAACTGTAGAGTTGGGGCGGGAGTAACTCTCGGTCTGGGGTTGACCGGTGTCATCATTTCAGCGCTGCAAGCAGCATCGTTTAGTTGTTTGCTGCCTTGTATTGAGTTGTCAAGGTTTGAGGATTTGGGGTAGAGCTGATGAGGAAGAAGTGGCTTTCAGCACTGCAGGATGAGAGCATAACAGTGAAAAAGCATGTGTGCGTGTGTTCTCCTACACGTGCACGTGCAGCGTACACACTCACACAGCAGGCTCACTTCTCAGCTTACGCAGGTGTAACAGACACCTGAGTCTGGGCCATAACATACATCTTTTGTTTTAAAAGGACATATAAATATTATATATAGATACATATATGCTGTATTATGCAGTGGTTACCTTTTAGTTTGCAGGAACAACTTGTATAACTAGAAATCTATGGTGGAAAAAAATCCAACAAAGGGGATTTTACGAAGGGTATGGATAAATTCTGGGTATAAATACTCAGACTAAAAAAAAAAAAAAAAAGGCAGATTTGCACAGTGCTTTAGTCTTGCACTAGTTTGTTTCTCAGTTGCAAAAAAACAAAAACAAATTCTGCGGGATGAAAGTAGTAAGACTGTATATTTGAAAAGGTACCAGTAACTTTGAAATACAAAGCTATAAAAAAGATACTGTTTGAAAGATACAGTTCTCTTTTATGACCTCACTATTTCAATTGTACTTGCAGATTCTAAGGTCCTATCATACCCTCCACGTTGTTAGTAATACTTTATTCCTTTCTGTTAATGGCTGATAGAGCATACACTGCTAGGAAACTAACTTTGTGCTTATTTAATGCTCTTACTTTGTGGTCATTAAAATGACGTTGTATGTGGCACTTTACTGCAGGAAGAAGCAAATGCAGAGCGGTTGTATAACCTTTCTTAATCTCAAAATGCCAATAGTGATCTGAAAGAAGAGTAACTGTCTATTAATTGATTTGTTCCTTAAACAACTTAAAGATCAGGATAAAAAATCCTCTGCATGTAAATTGGGAATATAAAATATGAAACATTTCAAAATTTCACAGGACTTACAGGAATACTTTCTTAGTGGATTTTCGTTTTCCACGGTGTCTCTTGGCATTAGATCTTGCTGTCCTTCGCCATCAGGTATTGGACATGTCTGACCTCCTTGCTTTTTTCAGTCCTTCTCTTTCTCTCGACCAAGCCATTGTAAGCGATGCGCTGAATCACATCTGATGTGCTACTTACTTCCCACTCTCATGCTGTTCCAAAGCAATTTCTTCTGCAGGGTACTGTGGGAAGGAGGGATCTCAGCAGACCAGTTTGGACAGCACTAAGGCAGTATCCCAGTTCAGGTAGGCATTTCTGGTCCACGAAGGCTCTGAGCCACACACACATAGGTAGAAACATAATCTCAATCTTCTTCATTTTTCAAATGAAGCTTACATAGGGTATCTTTTTTTTTTTTTTTTTTTTTTTTTTTTTTTTTTTTTTAAATGCAGAACTTGCATCAGTTTATTTATTTATGTGGAAGATTCCTACATTTGTTTTGCACTGAGATGGCCAAACACTCTCCACAGGCATGACCAAAGTCTTCCTGTTCAGGGAGGACATTCTCATTTGTGCACTCCTGTTTAACATCCTCAAAGCTATTTACAAAGGGGAAACATCCAAAATAGGAGGAGGTTATTATTTGGAATAATTAATTAAAGGGCAGAGAAGTCTCACCATTTTGTTTACATTCCAGCAGAAAATTTTTGTTCTACTGAGCATATGGCAGTTCTGCCTGTCTGTGCAGTAGAGAAAAGCCATCTGTTCCAAAGTAAACATAAAAACGTTAGTAACAACGCAACTCAGGGCCCTCTTTGCCATCCAAACTCCTGGTAACCCCCCTGGGAGTACAGACAAAATAGAAAGCGGTGTGTTAGTAAATACAGCAAGCATAAAAAACTGAGTGTCTCAACAGTGTGAAATATGCAGTCTGCACCCAGAAACTATACCAGTTCTCTCAAATACACTCAATGCATTATATCTCTGACCCCACCATAGTAAAGCAAACACTTCCAAAGCGAAAAGGTTTTTTTTTCAAAACCAACAGGGAAAGTACAGCTGTCTAGGAGGAGGTACAAATATTACGAGGATGCTTTCTGTAAGCCAAACTGCAATATAACTGGGGCTGGAAGTTCCAAGAATGCGCTGTCAGCGCACAAATGCCACGTGTTCAACAGCGCTCCATCGTACCAGTACCTGACAAAGTAATGTCTAATGTAAATGGAAATTTTCTTTAGCACTTTGGAAAGGATAAATTCATTCTTTCTGGTACGTCATAGAAGTTTTCTCTGTAAGGAAAAGTGTGTTGGGAGGTTTTTATTTTTTTAAGGAAAAAAAAAAACCGTATTTATCTGAGCTCATCGTATTAACATAATTGGTTTGAAGTTCAAGACTAAAGAAAGGAATGTTCTCCAGAGATATCCCCTACCTAGTAAAGACCAACAGTTCTGAAAAATTCCCCCCACCATAAAGCTAATTTCATAATAGTTTATCCCTATGCATTCTTTAATGAAGGCTAGTGTGTTTTTCCATTCAGTACTTCAGTTAAAGTTCTCAGCACTTTTTTCTTTCTTCTGTTTTTTTTTTATTTGGTGTATTATGTTCAAATATCATTCTGTCAAGGTCTGTGTACATTATTATTAAAAGTTTGTATTGTATAAAGCTTTTTGCATTATAAGGCTGTACAGGGTCATTTTGACAGTAACTGGTATATTCCTTTGCATCTTACGTTGCATTGCCAATTTCTAGTGTATCGAGTTTGGAAGTACAATATACTCTAATTAAAAAGGTTGGCTATATTCCTCGTTTCTTTTTGCTTTTTCTTCCTCTAATTTCACCTAGAACAGATTTTAGGCTTGATGTGGGGGAGGGAAAGGATATCCCTACAAGACAAGATGCACGGAAAAGAGGGAAGATATCATCAACAGTGCAGATGAAAAAGGAAAGCTCTGGTTAAGCGAAGGTCCCACTGAACATGCAGAGATACCTAACATCTTAAAAGAACGCATTTGTAAATGCTGAGAGGGGGGAAAAGAAATCTACGTTTGCATCAGATAAAAAGTATCCTCAGCTAAATTAACGTTAGCAATAAACATAGTTGGATCGCCCTTTGCCCTCAGTTGGGGCTGTACGAAGGTCCAGTCAACTGAAAAGTTCTTGTTTTTCTACTGGGTTGGAGTGCTATACTTTTTAGGCTTCCTATCAGTACCTCGTAGAATACGCAGTGCAGGTAGCAGCTCATGTGTTTAACCCACTCTTCCTCCTTTTGCTGTTATACGATGAAAAGGCTTCTCTAGCTTCGACGTGAGGATAAGAAGTCACGTTCAAGAAGAGATGATGGTCTTTTTCTTGCTGGCCCTGTAAAAGGAAATGTAAAAGTGATACTCTGTGTTGCTCCAGGTTGGTTTGGGGTGTTTTCTGGTTTGATTTTGAACGATTTCTCAGAGATTAATCGACCAAGCCCTGATTGCATCTCGATGGTTTTAAAACAGTAAATGCAAATTCTGTTCTAAATGATTGACTATTCAGCGATAAGAAAACAGTTTAAATGTTGGTTCAAACGTTCAGTCCAAACAAGCAAAGAACACGTAGAGAGTGAGTCAAAGAGAATCTTGGCTGGCAGAGAAGCGGGAACATGGCTGCCTCAGGAAGCGAGCGCGTCCCTATGTCCCCACACGTTCTAGCACGCACTGCTGCAGATTTGGATGTTTTCTCATCCAAAGAGAACAATTTCTCTAAGAACGGACAGAGCAGAGGATTGAATCGTCCTGCCTATATACTGAGCCGGCTGGCAATTAAGTCCTTTAGAAGAAGCTCCAGCCATTGAATCTTACTCTCAACTTTTCTAAAAACAATCAGGCCAACCCTCAACCCAACTATCAACTGTCCCCTAAAAAGCACAGCCCCCAACCCAACATATTTCTGACAGAGGAACTCTATCTGTACTCACACAGGGGCAGTATCACATACATACATCACAAGGCCACTGTCCTTTAAAGGAGGTGGCTATCATGCGATTGTAAACCTGCACAGTTTTCATCGTTTAAATCAGGTTTCCCTGAACTTTTTCTGATACGTAAACCAATATACATTTGTGTGTACGTAGAAAACAGCTCTGGATCCACTTCAGAGGGCAATGACTGTCCTGCTTTCGATATGCTGTTCTGTATATTTTGCATATGCCGCCCATATAAAATTAAATCATAGAATCACAGAATGGCCAGGGTTGGAAGGGACCTCAAGGATCACGAATCTCCTGCCCCCTGCCACATGCAGGGCCACCAACCTCCATGCCTAACTCTAGACGAGGCTGCCCAGGGCCCCACTCAACCTGGCCTTGAACACCTCAGGGACGGGGCATCCACAACCTCTCAAGCCAAATAATAAAAGTAGAGGAATTAGTTCTTAGAATCCCGCACTTGTCACCGTCACCACGAGTCCAGCAGAGCAGGGCTCAAGACAGAGACTTTGAAAAATCTCTATGAGGATATTCCTTAACACGACTGTAGAGACTGATTTTTTGGTGAGAGACGGCGTCATTAATGCAGAGCTATGTTTTAAAATATACGTTGTGTTCAAATATATCACTTGTGTTCATAACAAACAGACATGTGCATTATATCATCCGCCATCATATCTGCTGCTAATTGGTTTCCTTGTTGACAAGTCTCAGCAGAAAGGTTAAGTACTGGCTGTAAAAGCAATGCGGCCTCCTGCCCGAGAGGTTAGAGCACAGGCAGACTGTGCGAGAGCCTGCACTACGCCTCTTCTCTGCTATATATTTTCTGAGAGCTAATAAAACACTGGTGCAATCACTCCGAACCGGAGGTCTGCCAACCGCCTCATTGTCTGTGGAATGGCAGTAAGTGGTGTGTCATCGTCTCATCGCAGAGGCACTCGAGTAGCTCGCAAGGGTAAGGTGTGCGGTCTTTTGCACTGAAGTTGTAGAAACTACCACAGTCACATCTAAAAATCACACAAGCGGCAGCTAATCTTGGGCAGAAAGAGGCTGATGTCTGAGTGCCCAGCAGGAGCCCCTGGAAAAGGAACGGGGGTAGACTGAAATCGTAGCCCCTTGAAAGAAAAATGGGCATTTTCTAGGCAACTCAACTTGAGTAATCTAGTCCAGGAGTCATTGTTAAAAATCTTGTCTTTGTTCACCAGCTGGGCCTAAAACATCTGATGGGAGGTAACAGGGAACAGTCTGCTGCCCATTTCAGCAGAAGCGCACATCAGCAAGAGTACAGCGCTTCCGGCATCGAGTCAGACAAGACCGCTCAGAAGCCACACGTGCTTTGGCAAAACCAGGCTGAATTAACAAGCTGCATCTGAAACAGAGACCAGAATTTTATTTGGCCTGTGGGCTTGTTGTATACCTCTTGGGAAAATAATGCCATGTATACCAGGCAGCCAGACAGTTGCTAGATGCCAGACAGGACAACAGAAATGCAACCGTTGTGCTTCCACATGTGAACAACAGCTGTTCCTGAACAACTCAACGGTAGATACTCACTGTATGACTTTCTTAAGTACAGCTTAAAAAAGAGAAGGGAAAAAAAAAAGTGAAGATGATCTAGAGCAGGCACAAAGCAGTAGCAAAGTGACACCAACTGTAAATGGTTCATGAAGTTCAAATTAATAATCACCACCACCAAGAACAGTAAAATGCAGCTGTGGATGGAAGAACATGGAAGAGCACAAAGCGATAATCTGGGAGTTCTTTGCAGCCTTGTGTAAGCAAGCGAAGGCTCTGCTGCCTATTTCTCTACTTTAAGAATATACAGGGGAGCTTTTCATGCTACTTTTTTAATTAAAAAAAAATTCCTTATTGATCCATTTCACTCTCCCTTAGCAGTAATTAAAATAAAACACAGGGCGTGACTCTGGGAAAAAAAAAAAAAAAAAAAAAAAAAAAAAAAAAAAAAAGTTTTCCAATTTAGGATACAGTTGCTGAAAAAGACTATTTGATTTCCTATAGTACACACGGTTGTTTGCACGCATTTCTACTCTATTTTACTCTTCAAGCTTCTAATTGCTATCACGTACCTGCTTTTTCAGCAGTTCTCAGACAACGTTTCATTGGAAACTGCAGACTTTGGACCGCTTCTCTTCTGGGAAGGTGCCTGTTTCAATAAAGAATAGGAAAATGCTATCACTGAACCGCTTCTCGCCGACGTGCAGAACAGCCTAATGTGACCAAAACCAAGAACAAGGCTCGCTCTCTGGCTGGTCAAAAATCAATCAATCAATAAATAAAACACTATATTGATTCTTCCCTCATCTATTTAGTTATTATTATTATTTTATTATTTATTTATTATTATTATACAGTTATTTAAGACTGTAATTTTCATTCACACGTTAGATTGTGGACTATACTTCTTAACAGGTTTAACAGGATGCCAGCTGGGAGGGACAAAGATATAACTAGTGTGCTTGTGCATATTGGAGTAGGACTTTAGAACCTATTTATGCATAATTGCATGAATGAGTATGAGTGAGTTTTCCCTGGCTTGCTCTCACTACCTCCTTAAGCAGCCACAGAGCGCCACAAATAACCACGCCAGCCACCTCTAGCCCAAGTTCAGAAAAGGCAAGCTGCTAAACTTGTGACAGCTGCGTTACCAATGCAGCGTCCAGAACCGACTCACCTGCTACAGAGCCAGGCCCCAAGGGCAGGCGCCAGCTTCACGCACCCTCACCCCAGTGTGCCTCTCACACTGTAGCACCAAGCACAGAGCTCGTCTGGTCACCGAGAGCAACCTCAACCTCTGCTCGAGGACAAAGCAGACAGTTGCTTGGCTCCCCTGTAGGAATAACTAACTCTTCTAAATCTGCGTGTGGAGACTAATACGGACTTTTTTGCTAGATCCAGCAAAATAAATTATTATAAATGTTACGTGCTTTGCATTTCTTGTATTGTAAGGATTAACATTTTCCTGACCTCTAGACTTTCTGGTACATAGCATACAATTGCATTCCATTACAGTTAACGCAGCGGTCGTTTTAGCAATAAAGTTATGCTAACTTTTTTTCCGTAAAATTGAAGGAAAAAATTCTAAATGGCATGGGAATAGAAGCAGAAAAAAATAAGGGCAGGAGCGCGCACTCCATCAGTGTGATTCAGAAATAATACGCATAGCCTGATGTGTGTCACTCATGCCTGTGACACTTACAAAATATACCAGAATATCTTTATTTGCATATGCTGTCCGCGGTGTCTGTTTGCACTCTGCATATTTACTAAGCAAGTATTAAAGCTTCATGGTTTTGTATCTAGCCACCTATTTTGGAGTTTGGTCTTTTCTTTATTCACATCTCCAGCACCGAGTTCCACAATTTACACGTAGTCTCCCTCTGTGAAAAAGCACATCGTTTGCTGCAAGCCTGCAGCCCAACAAGATAGTAAACTGCCTCCTCAATACTTGCATTACAAAAATAGTTCCTGATTAGCCTCGCTCAAGGTATATTAAAGCAGCCTACTGCAGACACTCAAGCTAGACAGTCCCATTCCATTTACTTTCACCACAAACAGACACGAGGTCATTTCTCACCTGCAATCGTCACTGCATTCTCCATTGGACCTTAGCTCTCACATGACAAGTTCACTCTGCTCACAACTGGCGTTTGTATTTGGCAATAGGATTTACCCTGCTAGACTGATCCACCTGTTCCTCAGTTCCTGCCAGTATCCTGCTCTCAAGGTAAATGCTACTGACTAGAACTTCAGAAGAAAGAAGAAGAAAACAATCCGGAAATTGGGATGACTCGGAAGTTTCTTCCAGTGCCACGCTTTACGTTAGACAAGTTTTGAAAGATACAGGAATTCCTCATGGAGAGAATTTGTGGTTCCTGAAGAGCGCTACCTGCCACGTTCTGACTTCCTTTGAATTCAGTTCCCCAAAACCTTTGCACAGAGTGGTTTTCCCGAGCGTTCCTTAACTTCTTTTCCACCAAGTTTTTTTATTTTGTCACATAACAGCCAATGTCCCAATTTGTACACGTGTTATTGACAGCAGTAATCATACTAGACTCATTACTGCTTTCTGTCAGCTAATCAATAATGTCTCAAGACCCAGGCTCTTATTTGGATACTTCAAGATTACTCCACATTTGGGGAAGGAAAAGAAAATGGGTGAGGGCATTCTTTTCTACAATTCGGAATTCATTTTTCCTTGTGGAGTCATCGTTTTTTTTCTAGCTTCCTGGCAGACACTAAAGAGGGATTGAGTCCCCTAACTTGTCTTTTAATAACCAAATAAAACTAAAGCAGATCACCAAAATACACCACCGGCAGCCACAGAAAGGATGAGACTCTTAAGTCTTCACGGGATACATTCCCTAGCTTCCAAAAGCTTACACAGTTCAAAGCTCATTGTCGGCCCTGCCAGATGACCAGGGACTACCTCCTCCCAAGCCACCTGCCAATTCATCATAGGGCAAAAACTCAAAGAAATCCCTCGGCTTTGCAACTCACTCCAGAAACCTCAAAAAGAAAGATCATTTACCTGTAACTCCTCTGAGATCTGCTGTCTGTTCATGTTGTCACGGAATTTACTGTGCAAACATTGGAAGCCAGAGAACTTCCACTTCAGCAGTACTCACAGAAGCGCACGTGTCTTGCTACTTCTTGCCGCACTGTTGCGGAGGGCAGGCCAACAAACTGCCCTGGCGTGACAAGCTCAAACCAATCAAACCAATCGTCCCGCTAAGTACCTCAACTCTTCTTATCAAAGATCCAGTTACGGAAGACTTCTGTCAACACAAAAGGAAAGAACACCTGCAATGCTCAGTCATGCATATAACACCATTAACAAAGTGACATTTGAAAGCTTGTGTCATCTCACTGAAGTACTGAACACGAAGCCTTTTGACAGCCTTGTTTCCCCTTTCCTCCCAGGCAATAACAGACAGGACAGCCCTGAAGAAAGGGAAGGTCCCTCCTGTCTGTACAAAGGACTTTGAGAGCTCTCCCAGAAGGGCGCAAGAATGCAGCAAAACTTCCCATGCGTGGGCACAAGCCAGAGACAGCTGCTAAGTGCTCTGAAACTGCAAGACAGAAAATCTTACCCTTTTCAACTCCAGAAAGCAACGTGGGATACCAGGCAAGACAGCTCACAAGAGACAGCAGCTTGTTTGCACACCAGACAGGAAATCCCATCTATTTGCTTATAATCACATATCTCATCAGATCGTTCTTGACAATAAGCAGAGTTTCTCTTACTAGCGGACCATCAAGCTTGTGCTAGACCTCATGCAGGCTTCAGGTCACTAAACAGAGGAGCCGAGAAAGGCAATCAAACTCTCCAGGAACAGAGAGGCGGATTCCAATCCACAGAGCTACTGGATACATACCCATAGAAAGAACTGAAACCAGACCCTCCCCAACCACATCTCAAGAGACTGTGCCTTGACCCTGCAGGCTACTTCAGAAATGAGAGAAATCAAAAAGAAAGTTAACGCATCGCCTGACTTGGAAACGGAGAATGCATCTACCACGAATCACAGGCTGACTCTGAAAGAAAAGGACTTCTTAGTTCAGAAGGCTTGGAAGCCAACTTCCAGGTACTTCAAGTTCAAAATACAGAGGGTTCTTTTCTCCTCTGATCAATGTCTCAGTTTCAGCTGGGATGGAATTGTTTTCTTCAGAGCGCCTGGTATGATGCTATGTTTTGGTTCTAGAAGAAAAGCAAAGTTGATAATACGACAATGTTTACAGCTGTTGCCAAGCAGTGCTGTGCAGAGCCAAAGCTGTTCCAGCATCTCAGTGAAGAGCTGGTGTGAGGGCCCAATGAGGTGGGACGGAACCGAATCAGGATAGCTGACTTAAACTGGCCAAAGAGATATTCCATACCATATAACTTAATGCAGAAGGAGAGTTTTGAAGGGATGGGAGTTCATCTGGCCCTTCCGCACTGCTTGGGGAGCTAGGTAGGTATTGGTCGCTGGATGGTAAGCAATTGCTTGAGTACCACTTGTTTTATGTAGTCTTGATTATATCTACCTACCTACAAGCACGCAGCGGGGGCCTCTGGAAACCTTAAAGGCCGGAGACGTTGGGAGGGGTGATTCTCTATTTCTATCACTCCATTTGTGTCACACGCGAAGCGACCCCTTTGAATTAGGCACAACTGTTTAACCTAACTAAGGAATCCCACAGCGAGGTGAGGAGGATAAGCACGTTACAAACTTCAGTTTGAAGTGTAATGCAAGCCCTGAATTCACATTTAGAGTCCACGTGTCTAACTGTCAGGGCCGTAACGAG